GAACATCAAGATCGAGATGCTCAACTGCTCGTCTACTCACAGCTTCAATCCATGGGGTGAGAGCAAGCTTACCATCATGATCCTCAATGTCTAACTGGAGTTTGCGTATGCGTGATGACTCATTGAGTGAATCAAAGAACATGTCAGCAAAACTAAGGCATCCACACTCGAGATCGAATGCATCGGAGTCCAAGTCTAATCCAGGAACGCATTTCCAATTCTCTCCATCTGGTGGATTACACTATCCTTTGTGGGAAGATGAGCAAGTATCTGATGTATCAAATCATCAGGTAACTTGCTTATCCATTCCTCTGACCTTACTTTGCTTTTCTTCTTTCTACCAACCACCATCTCTCCTTAAATCCAAAAACAAACTCAAAGGTTACAGAAACCACAACTTATTTCAAAATGCACTAGTTTCCAACTAATCTGGAAAGTCTAAACAGATATTATTGTAACAGAGACAGAACAAGTTAAAAAGCACATGGGATGCTTAGGGTTTCTCAAGGTTTTTTCAGAATGTTACTAAAACGAAGGAACAGTAAAAGAAGAAGAAGAACGTACCGGAATGGGATTTGATTAGCACAATAGATTAAGCATCTTTTTCTTCCTTCATGGTCATGCTTTCTTCTCTGTTGCAGACGGTTTCGTGTGATGTGTATATATAGAGGATGCGTGCAAAGTGATCACTATGAGCTTAGGGTTTTGGTTAGAAATTGAAATGGAAACGTCCCTTGAATTGGACCAACTCGGTTTACTGACTCGAACCGATAGTAAATTGCTGAATTTGACTCAACATTTGAACTTTGATATGACAAGTTAGTATAACCGAAGCCAAACCAACCATGAAGCTAGTGTACACATTCACTTTGTATTTACACAATCACGACGCCAAGATTGGTTCAAATCAGTTTACAAACCCAAGAGATATTAAACCGATCAAAAAATGGATTTTCCATATTTGGCTCATCCTAAAGTTATGAGTACTTGCTTCATCTAGAGACTTCTAAGTATGGCCTAAGCTGCACCATACCATAGAGGATCAAAAGAATCCATCCGAAATCGTACTTACCATATCCGGACCCAATAAAAAACGTTTAAATCTCCAACAAATATATTCTCTTGGTACAAGACATTATTATAACACTTCTTGGAGGAGTTTGACCTTCCTTATTTGTCCACGAGAAGATCAATCAAGTGACTGAAATCCAAATATCACTCCCT